ATCCGGTAAGCGTAAGGCCATACCGATACCCCCAGTTCCAGAAACATGAAATTGAGAGATTGCTCAAGGAGATGCTTGAAGCGGGTATCATCAAGCCGTCGGTCAGCCCCTTTTCTAGCCCGGTTTTGTTGGTCAAGAAGAAGGACGGGTCTTGGAGGTTCTGCGTGGACTATCGGGCCTTGAATCGGGAAACAATTCCTGATAAATATCCTATCCCAATCATCGACGAATTACTCGACGAACTCCACGGGGCAGCAATATTCTCTAAACTCGACCTTAAGTCGGGTTATCATCAGATTTTGGTACGAGAAGAGGACACGCACAAAACAGCCTTTCGTACCCACGAAGGCCATTATGAATTTTTGGTCATGCCCTTTGGCCTCACGAACGCACCGGCCACCTTCCAAGCCCTCATGAACGAGGTGTTCCGACAGTTCTTGAGAAAGTTTGTGCTAGTGTTCTTCGATGACATACTCATCTATAGCCCGGATAGAGAGAGTCACGTGGAACACCTGAGAGTAGTGCTGTCCAAATTACAAGAACATTGCTTGGTGGCTAATTTCAAGAAATGCGAGTTTGGTCAGTCTAGGGTGGCGTATTTGGGGCATGTGGTGTCGCAAGAAGGGGTGGCAGTGGCCTCGGAGAAGGTGAAGGCTATGGTGGAATGGCCAATTCCACAAAATTTGAAGGAGTTGCGTGGGTTTCTTGGATTGACCGGCTATTACTGGAAGTTTATTAAGGGATACGCTCAAATTGCAAGACCACTAACAGAGCAGCTGCGTAAAGACAATTTTGGGTGGTCATCGGAGGCTACGGCCGCCTTTGAACGGTTGAAGAGAGCAATGACTTCAGCCCCTGTTTTGGTGATGCCAAATTTCAGCAAGAAATTTGTAATTGAAGCAGATGCATCGGGTTATGGGTTGGGGGCTGTCTTAATGCAAGAATCGAGGCCAATAGCTTTCTTTAGCAAGTTACTAGGCCCGAGGTCGCAAGCAAAGGCTATATATGAGAAGGAGTTGATGGCGATTTGCTTGGCCGTGGGTAAGTGGCGACATTATTTACTTGGGCGCCACTTTGTGGTGAGAACGGACCAACAGAGTTTAAAGTATGTGATGGAGCAAAGGGAAGTGAATGGGGAGTACCAAAAATGGGTCCGGAAATTGTTGGGTTTCGATTTCGAGATCCAATTCAAGCCGGGTGCGAGTAATAGAGCGGCGGATGCTCTGTCCCGCAAAGGTGGGAGCGTTGGAGAGCTGGCAGCCTTGGTTTCAGTTTCAAGGATTGATTGGGAAGGGCTAGAGAGGGAGGTGAGAGCTGATAAAGACCTCGGCAAAATCATGGGAGACTTGGCAGCAGGGTAGGGGGCTCGTGATGGGTTCACACTCGAAGAAGATAAGCTACTCTTTAAGGGAAGAGTGGTAATTCCGAGAGAGTCACCATTAATTTCTAAGCTTTTGATCGAATACCACGATAGTCCGGTGGGGGGACACCAAGGTGAAACAAAGACTTACCTAAGATTGGCTGCCGAATGGTATTGGTTTGGGATGCGTAAAGATGTGGGAATGTATGTCAAGCAATGTGCTACTTGCCAACAAGCCAAACACTCCCAATTGCAACCGGCGGGATTGTTACAACCCTTACCGATTCCCGAGAATATTTGGGAGGATATCTCAATGGACTTTGTAGAAGGGCTGCCCAATTCTAAGGGGATAAACTCGGTGTTAGTGGTAGTTGATAGGTTGTCCAAGTATGCACACTTCATGGGGTTGAAGCATCCATATAGTGCCTTAACCATCGCAGAGACGTTCACTAAGGAAGTTGTTAGGCTACATGGGATGCCTACCTCAATTGTGTCGGATAGGGATCGAATCTTCATGAGTGTGTTCTGGAAAGAGTTGTTTAGGTTGAAAGGAACGGACCTCAAGAGGAGTACCGCATATCACCCTCAAACCGACGGCCAAACCGAGGTTGTCAACAAAACCTTGGAAACATACCTACGTTGCTTCATCAACGGTAAGCCTAAGTCGTGGAGTAAGTGGCTGCATTGGGCGGAATATGCCTACAACACAGCCTATCATGCTTCTACTGGGTTTACACCCTTTAGAGTAGTGTATGGGAGGGATCCGCCCAGACTAATCAAGGTGGGGAAGGGACAAACGCTTGTGGATAGGCTGGAGGAGTGGCTGCAGGAGAGAGATTGGGTTTTGGATGACTTGCACATGAATTTGGTTCGGGCACAACAAAGAATGAAGCACAATGCAGATTTGCGAAGGAGGGAGGAGGAATTTCGGGTAGGGGACTTTGTCTATCTGAAATTGCAACCTTACCGACAAAACTCATTAGCAAGGAGGCCAAAAGAGAAGCTAGCCCCTCGTTTCTATGGTCCCTTCAAGGTGCTCCAACGCATTGGTCAGGTGGCTTACAAGCTGGAGCTGCCAGCAACTTGCAAGATCCACCCCGTGTTCCATGTCTCTCAGCTTAAGCGCGCAGTAGGAGACCAAACAACAAACCCCACCATACCCACCCAACTGACTGAAGAGCTGGAACTCAGAGCAGAACTTGAGAGTGTGATGGATATAAGGGCTGCTAAGACCAACCCAGACATCTTGGAGGTCTTAATTAAGTGGCAAGGACTACCCCTTATTGAGGCAACTTGGGAAGTGGCTGCCATCATACAAGAGAGATTTCCATCCTTTCACCTTGAGGACAAGGTGACTCTTGTAGGAGGGAAAGATGCAACGAATGCCGTGGATAGCGAGCACAACAAGGATTGGATCACCTATGAGCGCAGAAGGAAGAAAGGGCAGCAGCTGCAAGGCCCAGCACAGGAGCCACCAAATCAACCAAGTTAAGGATTGCTGGCAGAGCCTCTTTAAGAATGACAGCTGCAACTTTTTGTCCTCTTTCTTTTTTTGGCTGATTGTGTACATATAAGTAAAAGGGGAGTGGGAGTGTGCTAGGTAGCTGATGATTGGTAAACTTAGAGTGTAGAGCATTGTGCCCTAAAGGTGCTAGTAGAGAGTCGTGGCCTCAAGCCACCTTGTTTGTAAGATTCAATCTTTATTCAATGAAATAGCTGCCTTCTTCCCTAAAAATATTATCCTTTTTGCTTTCAAGTTCCATTAATACAGCAAAGTATAAGTAGAGCGTTACACATTTCCATAGGTGAGGAATTTTCCAGATGTGAGCAAAACTTTTGCTCCATCATTAGCAGCTTCTCCGGTGGCGCGATGGTGGAGAAATTTGGTGGAGGATCTCGTGGAGGTTTTGGTGGAAGACGTGGTGAGTTTGTAGGTGGATTTAGTGGCGGAGGTCAAGAAGATCGCACCGGCAAAACTGGTGGTGTGCCTTTCGCGAGTGTCGTTAGCGGTGATTTTGAGCAGAAGGTTGAGAAATAAGATAGGTGGTTTGGATGGTGGGATATTTGAGAGAGGTGGTGCCGGATGCTGTGACTTGGGTGGTGGTCCAGGAGGTTGTGTCCAAAATTGTAGTGGTGGTGGGATGTTTGGCTTCAGGCCGAAGAAGAGCTCAAATCAGGGGCCGTTAAAGATGGTGAGTGGGTGTAGATTTGATAATTCCGGCGACGGCAAATTCGGTGGCGGTGGTAACATCGAGCATGCTGGTGGTGGAGATTTTTCGTATGACTTGCTGCCAGAAGAGGGTGAGTATGGGAGAAGCTTCAATGACTTGGGAAAGAAGACAATCCTAGAAGATGCTAGTAAGGGCAGCATAGAAAATGAACAACATGTTGACAAGGGTAGTAATAATAAGATGACAGCTCTTCTGTCGGGGTCTCGTTCAGCTAAAAAAGAAGGGAGTCAACAGGAAAATCCAATTAAAATGGGTGGAACAGTTAAGCAGGGGGGTAAGACCACCGCTGGTGGTGGCCTGAATAGGGAAGGTGTCTTCGTGAAGGACGGGATGGTGATTTTTCTAGTGGTTTTACCAGTGGTGGGATAATGATCGGAGGTGGACTGGGCTTTTTTACCGGCGGTGAAACTGATGGTGGGAAGTTTCAATGGAGGTGGCTTCACGGTGGTTTCCAAAAGTACCCACAAAGAGAAGTTAATGAGAGATGCCTTGATGATTCATGTGCTAGCTTGGAGAGGAAGATAGTAGAAGGCACTAGAAAGGGTATAATAGTACTTAGTCTAATTTCATTAATCATTATATTACTTAGTCTAATTCCTTTTATAGCTTACTTTAAATACCCAATTGGGGTATTAAGAGACTTTAAATTCATTTTTCAGATTTTCATTTTTAGTTTTAGCGAGAAAACATTAGAATAGATTAGGCTAGTTTAGGAGTGTATTTTTTTAGGGTTTGTTCTAGCCCTTTAGAGAGAGAATAGCTGAGGTTTAGAGAAAAAAAAGTAGTTATTCTCACAATAATTCTAGGAATATGAAGAATCTAACGAATAAACGAGGGTTTTAAAGACTCTACTTATCAAAGGACATTAGATGGCGAGAGTTTATTTCAGTTGGTACTTGCATGTTGTTTGATCTTAGGAGGTATGTATAACGGCACAAAATTTCCTTTATCATCAACACATCAAGCTTTGAGCAATTAACCACAAATTGTCTACAAACAAAACTAACTCTCCATAGACATAGATCTTTCAGTCAATGCAGAATTAAGAATAATATGTATGCTTGATTATTTTGTAAAACATACTTGAACAAAATATTAGTGCAAAAATACATTTATGAAGATTTTTTGAAATCAAATTTAGAATAAAGGGAAATGGAAGGGTTTTTTTTTAAAGGGAAATAGAAGTTTTGAAATTTGTAATAGAAGAAATCTCACACACACACGCAGCACAAAGTATAGGGGTGCAACTACTACTGAAAAAAGTAAGCTTGTAAGGTCTCTATTCAAAGTTTGACATAAACCACAACAGACAAAATGAAAGGCACCAATAAAGTTATTTAAGAGCAAACACTCAAAGAAACAAAGTAGCACAAGAACGAAAAAAATGATCAGTTCTAAAGAGGACTAACCTCAATGTAGAACGAGCGTCAGCCACAAGATATAAAAATCGAGACTCAAGAACTTCAATGAAAAGTTCTCGCTGTTCAAAGTCCTCCTCAATCATGAATCGATCCAATTCAATGCCATTACTTAATGATTTTAGCAGGGGACTAAGGTAGCTGTGACACCACAGCAAAGGGGAAATTATTTTTTGGAAAAAAATTAGAGAATTACATACCTAAATTATCATGAAATTCCTACAAAAAATATATATATATATATATATATATATATATATATGTATATATATATATATGTATATATATATATATATATATATATATATATATACATATATATATATATATATACATATATATATATATATATATATACATATATATAGGGGAGGGATCTGGTGAGAATATGTCCTTATGTGGGAATTCATACTTATATGAGAACTGGTTTAAAATTTAGAACATGTGACTTAAATTAAAATTTTGAACATATGAATAATAATTTAGAACATTTATGTGAGTAATATGTTTAGAACATCTAATTTAAGAATTAGAACAAGTGATTAAAAATTTATAAAATTTACTTTATGAAATTTTAAACATATGAGTAAAATTTAGACATCTGATTTAAGATTATGAACATGTGAATAAAAATTTAGAACAAATTGATATAGAATATAGAAAGTGTGAGTAAAGAATTTAGAACATACGAGTAAAAAAATAGAACACACGCTTTAAAATCTGGAAGATATAATTGAAAATCTTAAAACACACGTTTTAAAATTTAGAACTATAAGTTAAAATTTTGGAACAAGTTATTTAAAATTTATGACATCAAACTTAATTAATTTATGGTTTAGAACATGTGAGTACTAAATTAGAATATTTTATTTAATTTAGAACACTTAAAGAAAAGTTTAGAACATCACATTTAAAATTTAGTACATACGAGTAAAAATTTAGAACATTTAGAATATAAAGAGTGTTCTCACATAAGATAAATTCTCACATAAGAAATTTCTAAGAGCCTTATATGCTCCCTCCATTCTAATTATTATATCAAGAACATCTTCAATGCCCACCCATTCGAGTAAGCAAATTTTCAAAGTATCATTATAAGATTCTTGTTAGGACATTCGAATAAGCAAATTTCAAAAGTATCATTAGAAGTCTTGTTATGAATGATCTCTAACCAAATGTGACATATTAAAGTCAAATGGAGTATATGATTTATACATACTTCGTATTTGACATAGTAAATCCCTTAGCATTAAGCACTGAATATATTTCAAAAGTCAATATTAACTTTGAAATGCAAGACAAAAGCAAGTGTAGTTAATGCTTGATTTTCACTATATGTTACCATGACTGGCTCCTTATATGCAACACACATAATTTTATGCCAATGCAAATTTGAATCACACACTGCTTATAATGCCCAGAACTTGAATAATAACATTTTTAAATCAAAACTTCATATACTACTAAATCCCTGAAAAATGCAGTAAAGCCGAAATATAATACCTGGGTCCAAAGAGGATTTTTTCAATCTCCAAAAGTTCAGAATTTGTAGCGAGCTCAAGAACTGCCCTCAACTCAGAATCACTAGCACCTGCATCACAGAAGGAAAAAAAAAACAAAAAAAATAAAAAAATTAAAAAATCAGTAAAATTGAATTGAGAAGAGAGACTATAAAAGAAAAAAAAAATTAAAAATGAGAGAGGGACAAGAAGAAAAACCCACCAGTGAAATTGCGCGGAATTGAAGGTAAAGTGGTTGAATTTGTCGAATTGCGAGTGTGTTGTTGGCCTTGATGGTAGTTGGAATTGTTGTTAATTTGGATGGAATTGTAAGCTTTCAAAAGATGGAGTCTGGAAGAGGAGAAGGTGGTTGTTGTAACGGCGGAAGAGGAGAGAGAATAGCCATGGTTGAAGGAAAGATGGTGATGGTTGATGCACGGCTGTGCAATTGCTGTTGTGCTTGTCATCCTAAGCTCTTCCCTTTTGCTCTCTGCTAAACGTGGTTAGGTTCGCTTCTTGTATTTAATTACTTACCATTTACCAAAGCAATCAATCCAAGTTTATGTATAGTTTGTAACTTTGGGCCTGGTCTCCTCGACTTATTTTCAATTCAGTTTCTAATTTTCTTCTTTCATAAAAATTTTAGTTCAGTTTATTTCGATTAAGTTCAGTTCCGTTCGATTAAGTTTAGTTTAGTTCAGCTCCAATAAGTTTAGTTTAGTTATGCTCTAATCAGTTCAGTTAAGCTCCAATCAGTTCAATTCAATTCATTTTCCTTCTCTCATAAAATATTCAGTTTAGTTCAGTTCGGTTTAGTTCATTTCAGTTCAGCTCCAATCAGTTCAGTTTCAATCAGATCACTTCGATTCAGCTCAGTTCAGTAAATCAGAACAAGTCCTTTGTACACTCTCTTGTACTCCGTATTAAGTCTGCTCTCATTCACCTTAAAATAGTACGGAGTAATAATAATAATAATATAGGATCAAAATTTAGTATCTACATTACTACATAATGCCTCTTATTGATTGACTTTGAATAAAACGATAATCAATGTATAAGAAAAAACACAAAAGTTTGATTTATGAAATACAATTAATTTATTAGCCTTAAAGATATAAACAAAGTTTAATGAAAATTCTGTTAGATTTTTAATTAATTGAAACTTAAACGTCGGTTTCGATGTAATTGAAAAACTAGCTTTCAAAAATGAAAATCCCACTTGATTTTCGATGAATTGCAACTTAACTGTTGGCTTAAGTGAAGTTGAAAAACTAGCTTTGAAAAATGAAAATTACACTTGATTTTCGATTAATTAATTAATAATATATCACTACAAGAAATATGTTTTTTTGGCAACTAAATATATTGTTGCTAAAATTATCTTCGGCAAAAGTTTGCATTTATTGCAACGACTTTTGCTTGTTATCCATGATGTTGTTACCAAAGGTATCTACAACGACTTACTTTTGTTGCCAAAAATTATTCTTTGCTACAACATTTTTGTTGCCAAAATATAGTTGTTGTCAAATCTTCAAAAATCTTAGGCTTGTATAACCTTGTTTTTTTGCTCTCCTTAAGCCCATGATAGTCCTTATTCAATCTTTCTAAAGAAGTCCAATTAGCGTCCTTAATTTAGGGTTTTGCTTGGTAATCACATGTTTTGCTTGAGCCCATATTCTTCTCTTACTCATAGCTTTACCAGCAGGTAAGTTGTTTCACAAATTTAGCCTAGTAACCCCCTTCATTACACCTTAATCAAGCCCTAAAACTCTTCTTCCCCTCTCAATCACGTATATATAAACCTTGACCTTTGGGTATGTATTGTTACTGCATTTTATCATCAACTTTCTCCTCTCCAACTTTCTCAAATTTTTGTGTATTCATCAACAGATTTTCGTGGGTCATTGCTGTCATAATTTACCCTATTATTCAAGCACTTAAGCACCCTTGAACATCATCAACCAAGGCTAACAAGAGGTGTGACTTTAGAGCAACTCCGAGTGATCCAAATTCCGATCTTTTCTTTCTTCTATATTTGGTTTTTCTTGCCTCCAATCAAGGTATTATTCCATGACTTTAGAAACCATGGTTAGGTTAAGGAGATATGAAATTACATGCGTTTATATGAGTTGTTGTTTGAGTTGGGGTTGCCTAGTTAATCTCTTTTATTACTTTAGTTTGTCAATCTATTTCACCAACTCAGCAGTTGGAGTTAGACCCTGATGAGTCAGCAGTCGAAATGGACAAATAGTCAAGCGAAATAGGAACGCCACACCTTACTTTGAGAACACGACGATAGAGTGCCTGTTTGTTCAAGTTGCTTGAATCTGAAGCTTGGTATTTATAACAGTTCATTTAATTTAGGTAGTTATTAGTTTAGGGACTTCAAAGGATACCTCTTGTTCATCATTTCTTGCACAAGAAGGTATAAAAGTGTAAAAGTCCGAGTGTCCTCATACAAATGGCTGGATTTTGATCCGATGAAGAAGAGACGATGTTTGTGAATAATTCGAAGCAGATTTAAAGGCGTTCAACAAACAGTTTTCCGGTTAGTGCTCATTACCTAAATTTTTAAGCAAACTTTTGTGTTCTTTGCTTTAGAAGTAATAATAGTGTATAATAAGTATTAATATTTATTATGTCTACTAACATCCCATTTAAAGAGTGAGAATTAAAACATGGTTTCATGTGTGATAAAAACAAATTTAAGATTTGTAACTAATTTGCTGAGATGATATAATTTTTTTTCAACGTTATGGGGTTTTTAACAATATATTAAAACTTTCAGGTGATCCAAGAAAGTGTAACATAGCTGACAAATTAGGCGTAAGTATCATTATAATTAAGTAAAACATTTGTGTAAATGCATGGATGTCTGATGGGGGAGGGATTCCACTGTTTACATTTAAATGAATATTCAAAACAATGATACATAAGGGTGCAATGATCTGCATGTTTGAGGAGTATATACTCTCTACAAAAAATTCTTTATAGAAGCAAGTAAAATATGCCTCTAGTAATAATGATGATGCCTATAATACCTTTTAGAGATAATTAATCAAGTGCCTCTAAAAATTCCGTCGCTAATTGATACTTGCCCCTAAAACCTCTTTTAGAGGCAATACAATGCATTGCTTCTAAAAACCCATATATTTAGAGGCAACCATATAACCTTGCCCATAAATATAATCAGAGGCAACCGTATAATCTTGCCCCTAAATATATTTAGAGGCATTATATAAATTTTCTTCTAAATACCATATATATTTAGGGGTAGCCATCAAAATATAATTAGAGGCAGCATACCTATTTTCTTCTATGTATCATATACATTTAGAGGCAATCATGTAATTTTGTATCAAAATATAATTAGATGCAATCTTGTATATTAATGCTAATGATATTTAGATGCAAATCAGAAAAATGATATTTAGATGCAAATCAGAAATTTGACATGAAAGGCTCTTATAGGAAAAATGCATGATATATATGCCTCTAATGTATTGATTCTAAATGTATAGACATTTATATTACAACAATATTTCATTTTATGATATAATGTTTGTACAATTAATAGACAAAATCATTTTAAAGAATAACCATGTCAGCATAGCATTATAAAGTAAGTTGATTTCATTGAATCAAACAACGATGACATTATTAATAATTTAATAGTTATTACATAATTAATCCCAAAAAATTTAATGGAGTTACTAAACTACTAAACTTCAAAACATGCATGCATATGAATAAATAAATAAATAAAAAATAATAATAATTTTTTTTTAATAATGTATTAATGTGAATAAGAAGGAGTTTTCATCTAAAACTATAAGCTTGAAAGCAACATTATTTTCTTCAATTTCTTCTAATTCGATCTCTAGCCATCTTCATTATATAATTTCCTATCATTAAAAAGTATGAAATTAATATTTTTCATAATGACAAAAAAATTAAATTAAAACAATTATAAATCACTAATTCATAAATTTCTATATATATATATATATATATATATATATATATATATATATATATATATATATATATATATATATATATATATATATATATATATATATATATATAGAAATGGGATCATGTGAGAACCTATGTCTAAAATAGGAACTAGGAACTCATCTGTACCGTTGATCGTGCTTAATCCAACGGTCCTTGCTTCACCCGTCTTTTTCATTTCAGTAATGGCATTTTGGTAATTTCTCCACTTTGAATGACCTCCTTTCTTTCTCTCTCTCTTCCTTTCATTTTCTCTCTCTACACGTCCTCATTTTCACTCTCTAATTTCGAGCTCTCCGCCGTGATCTGAGTTCTTCATTTTACCGAATTTTTTGCCCAGATTTTTCGATTTTGATCTTCAATTACATCATATTCTTCGATTATTTTCATTCATTAAGGTAATATTCTAATTATATTATTATTTTGTTTGTTTATTTTTCTTTCATTGTTTATCTTGAGCTGAGTTTTTTGATTTAGGGTTTTTTATTGTAATTTTTCTAAATTTTTACTTTTTTTTTGTTCTTTGAATTATTCTATACAATTTAGTGTTTGATTTTTGGTTTTTAATCCTATTTTATGGTTTTATATTTATGGATTCAATGTAGTTGTTTTCTGCATATAGTTGCTGTTTAGGGTATTTTTACCCTAGACGCGTGGACCAATGAGAGGTCGCCACGTGTTGAGCTCAGGATGGCCCATTTGGCTCAACATCCTCTTGACACTTGGCGCCCCCAGATTTGCCTTTGAAATGGCGGCCTTCAAGGGCCCAAATCCCTAGGAGCGCCGTAAAACGGCGCAGCCCACCAAAATCAAGGTCAAATGACCTAGATAGGGGAAATTCTCCAACGACCCTATAAATAGGGAGGTATTCCCCCATTTTGGGGACACATTCAATCATTTATTACACCTTTATTCTCTTACATCAGAGAAAGACTTGAGCTTGGAATCCGAGCACATACCCACCTAAATTTCCGTTCTCTTTATTCCGTTTCAAGTTACTAACTTGATCGTCGGAGCCAAAGCTCCAACCACCCGGAGTCTCCGTTATTTTGCAGGTACAGCTCAGCCGGATCAGACTTCGTGACGTAACTCTCCCAAGAGACAAAAACACCCAAAACATTTGGCGCCGTCTGTGGGGAGAGTACCTCGAAGATGGTTCAAGAGTCTGTGTCACCCCCTAACCGTCTAGGCGAAGACCCTGAAGTCTTTACAGACCATGAGGATGAAGATCCTCAGGTCGAAACCTTTACAGCCGAAGACGGCTCACTCAGAATCAAGCGCATCCGGCCCAAAGACACTCTGGAGCGGGGTGCCTCCCAGGCGGGTCCAAGCCGACCGACTGGGCAGGTAGAAAGGGAAACCCAAACGGCCGCTGGATCATCCCCTGTCACCCGAGATGAACTCATGAGATTCATGACAAGTTTCAAGGGTGAAATTAAAGAGCTGATCACCAAAAGCCGGGCTGGCCCAAGTAAAGGTCAGTCAGCGAAGAAGACTCCTCTAGAGAAGGGGAAGTTAGTCAGAGACCGGCAGCCCACTCCTCATCCAAAGGAGAAGGCAGCCGGGACCATTGATTGATAAAAAA